GGGGGTGGAGGGGGGTGAGAGAAGGGAGGGGACAGTGTGATGAGGGGAGAGGAGAGTGGAGGGACAATGGGAGGAAGAGGAGAGGGGGTGCCAGGAGAAGAGGGATTGAGAAAAGGGGTGGGTATATGGAAGGCAGGGGATGGAGCAAGTCAAGTGTGAGGGGCATGAGGAGAACTGGGGCAGAAGGTGGTGAGGGGGTGGGCATCAGGGAGAAAAAGGGCAAGGAGCCAGGAGGATAAAGGGTAGGAGGGGCAGCAGCAGGCACCAGAGGAGCAGATGGGACAAGGGGGGTGGGAGATATGTGGGAGATATGGCTGCAAAGCGAAAAGGGAGAGATTTATAACTTAGTTGCCATGGTGGCACACATCCAAACAAGTGTACATTACCTCAATATTGGTGCACAAGACAAAACTCACTCCGAATCCCCAGAGGCAGCGGGGGGTGGGTCCCAAGGTGGCCCAGGAGCCCCCAGGGGGGCCGTATGTGCTTGGGGGGGGCCTCATGTGCCTTCCCCAGGGGAAGCTACAGTGTCCCAGAGGTGGCCATGGATGTGTGCTGTGTGCAGCATCCTTTAGGCTGTATGAGGTTAGGCCTGCAACCTTGGGGCTGGCCTACTCCTGACCAAACCTTCCCCTCTCCCCGGTCTGGTCGAGCGGAATCCTTGGAGTCCCATGCATGTGCTGGGGCTGGCTGCCGCTTCTCTGTGCCACTTGGTCTGGCTGCACGTAGGGTTGCCGGATGGTTTCAAGAAAACTACTGAACACACTTGACATTACATGACATTCTACATTACATCTTAGTTAAAAAATACCAGACCTGTTTATTTTCTCATTTATATCCTCTCAATTTGTTTTCTGAACAGAAAGCTCAGACTGGACTATCCAGTTCTAAACTGGACACCTGGCAACCCTAGCTGCATGAGGTTGCACATGCTGCATGCCTCTGCACAGCATGTGGCCAGGCTGTGCCATGTGCCACTACCTCTCTCCCACCCTGTGGCCCTCCCCCCACTTGTCCAGCACACTTGCGAATGGTAGCCACTGCACTCACCAAACAAACCCTCACAGGCTTCGGAAGATGCCCGGGACACATCCTGACTGCTGCTGGGCCAGGATGGTGAGGTCTGGCTGCTGTCCTCTGCCACCTCCTCCTTCTCCAGTGGCCTAGGTCAGACCACTGGGGTGGCCACTGCTGTGTCCACCTGGGACAGCAGGGGAGGGCCCCTTTGTCCCACAAGATCTGGTGCAGACAGTGATACTGGGGACAGTCAGTGGCTCCGCCGCCCCCACGCTTGCTGCCTGCACGTAGGTGAGGCGCAGGTCCTTCACCTTGGCCCGGACCTATTCCAGGGTTTGGGCCGGGTGTCCCTTTGTGGCCAGCGCCTGGGCCATCTGGGCAAAAATGTGCGCATTTCTCCTCTGGGACTTGGGGTCCCGGAGGGCCTCCTCCTTTCCTCAGAGGTCCAGGAGGGCAGTCACCTCGGCGGTGCTCCACCATGGAGCCTGCCACTTGGTGCCCCTTCGGACTTGCTGGGTGCTCTGGGGTGGCTCCTCCGTGGGGTCTGAGGGACCTGGCTGAGGCTGGGCAGCTGCCATTCCTCCCTCTGGGCTGCTACCCTGGCTGCACGTGGCAAATGGCTATGCTCCGTGCCTGTGCCTTTAAGGGGAGGGCCAATTAGGGGGAACCAACAAGTGGTGATTGCCTGTACAGAGTGTTGGGGGGCACCTGCGTTTTTCACTGGAGGCCAATTCTCGCGCAAGTACGTGCTTGCCGAACGTCCACACTGCCCTCTTGGGCAAGAGCACCTGCACAAGAGAGCTTAAGCCGGATAGAAAACAGCGTGGCTCTTGCGCAAGGAACTGTCTCTTATCACACCATACTGTACATTTACTTGCGCAAGAGCAGATGGGCAGTGTAGACACTCTGTGGATTCTTGTGCAAGAATGGCTGTTCTTGCGCAAGAAGCCATGAGTGTAGACATAGCCCAGCAGAGGCCACCCGCAGTGCTATTTTTAGTACCACAGTCCAGGCCCTTGTGGGAAGCCCTGGGTCCAGCTGAAGTCAAATGGAAGTCGCATGAGGCACGTTCCAACCAGGGCAGCCTCACCAGAAGGGTCCTCATGTGGCTGCTGCTTTACTCCAGCTGGAGCCAAGGCACCTATAGGGATCGGGACAGCAGTACTAAAAATAGCACCACAGCCCTGGCTCTAGCCCCCATAAACTGCTTTCCACATCAAAGGCAGAAAGTGAAAAAACAGGCAGGGGAAGAACTAAGGAGAGGTGGGGGTAAGGAGAGAAAGGGGTTTGTGCTGAGGGGAAAGGAGCAGCAGGAGAAGAAAGGGGAAGGCACCAAGATGTAGGGTGGAGGAGAGAGAAATGCTAGGGGCAAAGAGGAGACAATGAGGAAAAGGGCAGAAGGGGGGGTAAGGGAGGGAAGGTGTCCATGGGGGGGAGAGGGGTTAGAGAAGGGAGGGGACAGTGTGATGAGGGGAGAGGAGAGTGGAGGGACAATGGGAGGAAGAGGAGAGGGGGTGCCAGGAGAAGAGGGATTGAGAAAAGGGGTGGGTATATGGAAGGCAGGGGATGGAGCAAGTCAAGTGTGAGGGGCATGAGGAGAACTGGGGCAGAAGGTGGTGAGGGGGTGGGCATCAGGGAGAAAAAGGGCAAGGAGCCAGGAGGATAAAGGGTAGGAGGGGCAGCAGCAGGCACCAGAGGAGCAGATGGGACAAGGGGGGTGGGAGATATGTCAACAGAGGGAAAAGGGAGAGGTTTATAAGATATTAATAACTTGGGTGCTACAGTGACATACATCCGAACAAGCACACACGAATTCAATACTGGTGCACAAGACAAAATTCTCTCTACTCATGGGAGAAAAATCTTAAAGGGAACACTTCCCTCAGACTCCCCCCTCCTCTCCCCACGGAGTTAATGCAATGCAAATTGGGTTAATGCTATTGCAGGATTGTTGCATGGGTTGGGGGGGGGGGGTGTCCCAGTAGGGCAAAACTCATCGCTATTGGATAGAAATATGGTGGGAGGAGTTCTTAGAGGGGTCACATGACACCTTTTCTTCTGGTCAGATGTTCATCTTGACCCCAGGAGTACTACCTGCAGAGCGGGACTTCTTGTGGCAGGGGGGACAGCTAATGGGAGTCAGGGGGCATGACTAACATGTCCTTAATTTTGGTTCAGAAAATATGGTCACCATACACATGCTACTAAAATCAAAAGCCTTCTTTTGGCAAACAAAATTCAGAGTCCAGGATACATGGGCATTTGCAACCTTGATATTTCTTGATTCAGAATGAAACACGACTATGGTACTTTGTGCTGGAGGCTAAAAACTGAAATCTCATATCGGTCAGCAAAAAATACTGCAGGCTATTTTCTCCTCCCTTTATTGTGAGGATTCATTTTCCCCCAAGCAACTGCAACATTATTCCTTTTCTCATGAACAAATGTGTGTATTGGGGGCACCAATACTGATGGCTGAAAGGTGAATTTGTTTTGATCTTTAAAATAAGTTTTAAAGGAAATTAATGGATTTATTTTGAGACATTAGTTCCTATAAAACACCAGCAGCCTGATGAAGTGGAACAGTGAAAAAGTCAACGAGACAATTTACTAGATGAAGTGTCAACCCAAAAATAATACACATTTTAAACTTCTGAAGTTCAATAATTTTATAGCACCTTTTGGATTTTTTTTAAGTTACACATTAAAACGGAACTTTCAAATACTGATTAAAAGAAACACAGAAAACTCTTATCAAACATTCCATTGATGAATACATTTCATATAAACAATTAAAAAAAAACCACACCAAAAAGTCCCCCAGCCACACAGCTGGAGTTGAAATGAAATGTTTACTATATTTCAGAACAGCTGCTTACTGGGGCACAGTAGAGTCCACAGTCCTTAACATTCCTTCACATGCCAGAGATGACTGTGTGTCACATGAGTATGTGCAGACTGGCTTTGAGGGCAAAGCCAAGCATCAGGTCTGTCTTTTTATTTTGTTTCCTAAAGATGACTCAGAACTCCCACTATATACAGACTGGCATCTTGCTTCAAAACCCACTTAAATTAATGGGAATCTTTTCATGGACTTCAAATGGACTTTGGCTCAGACTCTGGGATGTGCAAGGAATGCATGATCAGGTTGTTGGGAAGAAAAGGTCATCCAGAAAATATGCAGATTACAAGCATTAACACATATGAACCATACACTAAAAAAATAATAAGGATTAGACATGAATCAGGTGAGATGCCTTTCAAAAATACAATTTCATTCTTCCCCAGTACAGAATTTAGAAAGGATGGAGGATCAGGAGGTAATCCATTTTACACGGGGATCCCAGACACTCAGTTTTCAGTATTGGGTTCACACAGTGATGGCACTATCTCCTAACGTCCCCATTGGTCAGCTGTATCAACACAGTATGCGAGAGTTAAACAAACATGATCTTTGCAGCATGAGAAAAGAGCATTCGGTAGAAAAAGCAAAAAGTAAGAGATGAAATGGTTACAAAATTAAAAAAAAAACCTAATATGTTTAAAAAGCCCACCGGGTTAGTTAAAAGAAATTAGGAGATGAAAGGGAAAGCATTCCCCACATACTTGTATTCAGATGGTTTTGAACATGGCCAATCTCCAAACCGACAACTGCATCTCACCCAGACAATGAGAAAGAGGAAGATTTCTCTTTACACTGACTCTGAAATCCCAGCCAGGTTTTTAGACAAGATATGGCTTTGAAATAGGGCCCCCCTTTTGTACCTCTCAATAGCAAAGGAGCAGGGAGGGAACTATGATCATGGAGGCGATCGGGAACGGATAGGTGAGCTCAATAAGGCACTTTCTCCAAAGACATTGGCATAAGAAGACTTGAGAAATTGGACATAGTTTTGCATGCTGCGATTGGTACTTTCAGACTGCTCCAGGCGGTCCTTTAAGTCCTGTAGGCGACTTTGGTATCGGCGCTCTGACTGCATGAAGACACAAAACACAGGGCTGAAGGACAGAGATTTTTCTTGCTAATCATTTTAGCCTTAAAACTTGTCACACTGGGATTTTCAGAAATAATGCATCACTGCAACAAACACCACATAACACTAAATGTCTATCACTCATTTCACTCAGTCCCAATTCCACTCATTAACTTGTATATAAAAGCACAAAATAACACAATCAATCGGAATAGGAACTGAATATTCTGATTAACTAATGGTTTGAAAACAAAAAGGAACCACTCTCTATGAAGAAACTCAGGAGGTATCACCTGCCATAGGTCAGCCCTCTTCCAATCCCAAGTCTAAAGTAAACAAGGAAAGAAAAAAGGGCAGCATATGTAAAGGATCCCCTTCAAAAGAGAATGACATCTCCTAGCAAGGAAATGCTCCTCAGGCCCTTTCTTACACAGCCATATGTGATGAAAGGAAGAGAAAAAAAATCCCCATAAATGTAACAACACTTACACCATCTGGACCCTTTCTGGTCTGATTTTTGATGTAGTGTTTGAACAGTCTGGTGGATCTGATTCTCCCTTCACCAACATAAATTAGGAGGAGCTCCACTCAAACTGTTAATATCCGTGATGAGAATCGAGCCCCACGAGTGTGACTTAAGTCCACCTTTTTAGGGCAAAAACTATCTATCTTTCTCCACACTTTATACTTCATCAAGCATACCATACAGTTTCTTCAGCACATCGATAAAACGGAGTTTATAGACTCACTGCTGCGTGGACATTGCTAGTTTATTAAAAATATCTCCTCCAAAATACTCACGTCTTCTTTGTTCCGACGCAGCTGGTTTAGTTCTGTTTTTGTCCGGCTCAGCTGGGTCTCCAACTCCAACATCTTGGACTGAGCAGATCTCTCTCTAGATGCTGCTCGGTCCCTTGTTTGTTCCACCTACAAGTAGGAACATGGCAGTGAAGTTTTTGCTTTGGCAAGAGTGTTGTTGATACAAATGCTTTGCTTCTACTATAGTAATAGCTTCCTCCCCTTTCAGCCCATGAGGTCTGGACATATTTTCATTTGCTAGAATCGAAGAAATGAAACATTCAAGACTAGTATTTCTTCCTTTCATGTGTGTGTATCTACTGGAGATAGAGTACTAACAGCATTTTTGGCTTCTGCTTCCTACAGATAATGCAGCAAAATTAGAAGGTTGGTGATGGAAGGGGATTCCTCTACATTTTATCTGCTAGTAAACTGTTCTCCTCCTGCAATTTGGGAATTCCACTGTATTTCATCAGTTTCTTACTCTAACAGAGTTACTAACCTGTCTTTTGGCATCTTCAATGGCCATCTCAAGCTGCCGTGCCAAGGAGCTACACTCACGAGTTTTCTCCTCCAATCGCAGCTGGGATTGATGGATTGACTCCTCCCTTTTAGCTATGACTTGAAGGAACTCTATGTTCTGTGCACCTGTCGTCTCTAGTTTCCTGGATTGAAACAGCAAGAAATTTTATTAATTTATTAAATATAATTTGGTTCATGATGCCTCTCCCTCAGGTCACTGTTTGACCAGAGGAGAGATCAATCTTCAACTTTCCCTCCAGAGATCAGAATCTGAGCCAGAGTTTCGTACCCCACTTCTAAACACCAAAGAATTTCAAGATGGGGGAGCATGCATGGACATATTGAGAATACTCATGGACCTGTCCTCACTTCAGCATCATCAATGAAGGAGTGTGGAAGAACTGACATACCTCTTTAGATCAGTGGCCTAGCTAATAATATCTCCTGTCTATGACAGTGGTCAGTATCCGATGCTTCAGAGGAAGTTATAAGAAATTCAGGGCAATTCATATCTGTCCACTTTCTCACTGATGGTGTGGGACCAGGCCTTTTGTTCCTGTTGATTTTTCTAGTGTGCCTACAGAGGACTTCAGAGTGGCCCACACACAAGAAAAATTAATGAACATTTTTCTTTTTAAAGTTACTTAGCACAATATTAGACTGAAGTCTCAGGATGGGCACAGACTTGGAATAAGAGCCAACATGAACCTTCTTTCACTACATACAAGTAAATATCGCTTTTTCTGTGCTCACATCTCTGGCACTTTCAAATTTCAGCAGGGACCAGGAATAACATAGAAAAGGATAATCTCAGAGGGTATGTCTACACCACAGCACTCATTTGAACTAACTAAGTTAATTCGAATTAGCGCATCTAGACTTAAAAACTAGTTTGAATTAGCGTTTTGCTAATTCAAACTAGCATGTCCACACTGAGTGGACCCTGAACTGAGGTTAAGGATGGCCGGAAGCAGTGCCGGCAGGGCATCAGATTAGGACTTAGAATGTGGAGCTGCTGCCTTAGGCTAGCCGAGGACTGTGCTTAAAGGGACCCAACCCCCACCCCGGACAGACAGTTCTCAGGGGTTCCTCGCTTGCAAAGCAGTCCTGGCTTGGAGTGCCCTGAGTGCCCACACTCGGCACATCACAGCACTCAGCCATCAGCCCGGCTGCACTTGCCGCAGGCTGCCATCCGGAG